CTTAATTGATGGGTTGGGCTAAAACAGAGTATAATTATGTTCCATTATACGACTTACAGTTTGCGTTACATTAAATCATTCTAATAGCTAAGTGGTAATAACGGTAGCTTTGTAATATGTTCATCGTAGCGGAAACAATTAGCACTTTTAAAATTTCGTAGCAGTTTCGTAGCGGAAGCGTCGCTGTCGTAGCAAAAACAATGCAGCCGTAGCAAGCCCGGTGTAACCAATTTGTATATTTTTGTGAAAGTTTTATAATGGAGTATATCCATTAGTGTCATATCTAACCATTAAAGGCTCCAAAGTAAAAATATTTCCCCCACTTTACTATACCAAAACATTTCTGTATCCTCAAATAAAATCGCTTACAACTCTCTCATACGCTTACATTTTTTTATTATTTTATTAGGGTTTTATCTCGCAGGCATCCTTATACAAAATACATTTTATTTATAAGATAAATTTCAATACTCTAACAGCATTCAATAAATAAAATTAGAAGCGAAATAGGAGCGGTATATTCAATAAGGTTTTACCTGCAGACGCGAGAGGTGGCGGCGGAGGGTGGCTGTGACGTAGTTGCTACTGACGTCATCAGTAAACCTCCTCCGCCCACGCCGCCGCAACAGCTGATAATTCCACCGAAATCACGTTTACTTGATAAAACACACGCGGATGACGTCCGCACCCTTACGACCAATTGCTCGCAGACTAGACGCGCTGTTACGTACACTTACAACTTTATACGTATACAGCGTACTATCTATTGTTCTACATATATATTCCATTGACCCTGAAGCCTTCGCTCGTTAAACTTTATGGCCACATGCGAATTCTATAATATGTCAGGAAACGCATTTCTTCTTAGTACAATTCATATTCTGTCCCCTGGAAACTATCACACGCTCATAGAAATACGATCCTCAACCCGTTTATATTAGCTATGATAATTTATTTAAGCTAGAAATAAGTCTGAAGGTCACTCAAACAAGTCTGCAGTAGGTCGTAGTATATAAGAGTATTTTGTGCGGAAATTATGGCGGGAAATCTGAGCGCCAAAGTATATTACCTACTAAAACAAGAACTTACCGAAATAAGTGTATAAAAGTACTAAAACCGGGAAAGGTAAATCTATTGACCAGTTTTCACTAGTCATCGTTCGTACTGAATACGTAAACAAATGACTTTGTAAAAACTTTTCACATGGTCTAATCTATACAAACTCGTCACTGACGTGTTTACGCGCCACTATTACGCAAAAAGGTTCCCGCAAAAACGTCATATAATAAGAAAGCTCATAAAAGTTTGTTTGCTGATAACATACGTACGAGTCTACCGACTACATAAAAGTGTATTGATGAATGACGTCGCTACTCACATTCATACAACTCTAATCAATAGCGTAGCTTACGACACCCCATCGCCATCTGGCGGATAGTTTGTGATACAATTAGGCGGATTGAAACCTCCTTTCAAGCGAGGTCGCACCGTACGTGCGTAGCTTTCTCGAGATTGTAACTCTTGTAAAGTCTAACAGAGGGCATAGAACCTTCTATCAAATAGATTCAAAGGTAGCTTTAATTGGACTGTAGACTAATGGGCTGTAGGAAAATCAACAGTTCCACTGTCATTAGAATGCGATTTTCGCTTCTAATAACTTAGCAAAGGCGGGCACGAATATAATTTGAAGCGAAATCGAATCGTTTGACTTTAACATATTATGAATGTTTATCTTAATATTTAGGTATAACATTCCACATGATATTAGATAGCTTTTGTTTTATATGAAGCTTATGGAAAATGCGTAAAATCTCTTTCATATAAAAATTCCTAAACTTCACATTGAACCCATTTTCTTACTAAGTTCAATGTAAAATTACAGTTTGACGATTTTCAGTAACAAATTAACAATAGATAGTATTTAGTACTGTAATGAATATTTAATTAAACCAAATTTACACCAATCAGTAATGAAATTGTTATAAAGACTATTCAGAATCGCTTAACCCGAAATACTTGTGTAATTGTATGTCCCATAAGTGAGTCGATATCTTTACAGGGATCGGAAATGAAATAACTGTGGCCGTAATTTATATGTAGTGTACTTTTTGTCAGTTTACTAATTTAAGTAGAAACTTTTTGTAAAGTAAATAGTCATTAGTTGAACGTTTATATATACACAATAGAAACTTTGATGCTTTATGTGAAAATGCTTCAGATTACACTGTCGTGAATAGATTGTTTTTCATATAAATGGGGAACAGTATCCTCACTATTGATCAAAACAGAAACTGTTTTCTTGTCTCATGATCAAAAAGTGCAGGAGCGAGCACACGAAACCTCTTCTGCATAAAAAAATAGAACAAAAAAAACAATTAACCGATCCGGCCCACCCACACTACTTATTATTTTCATAAAAACAAAAATCACGAGAATAATAAACTACATAATATGTAAATAAAAAAGTAATTTTGGACAGTCTTAGCAGCATACATATGTATGTATTTTGTTATCTGCTTTTTAAGATGTAGACACATTAAAATTATTTTAAATACAAATTTATCCTCTAAATATATGTTAAAGTATCAATAAATATTTAAATTTATTATCAATATGCATAATTCATACTTATAATGTCTATAGTTAGCTTTATTCGAGTTTAGCTTATATTAACAAAGACAGTTCTTAAAAAGTCAGATTTGTATATATTTTTCCAGTGTATGTATAATACTCGTATGATAAATAATAATAGATACATGATGGTTAGACTGGAAGATAACGCCCACGCCATTAAGTCTACCTTTGGTACGATTGTGCATGAATCGTTTAAAATAAAATAAAATAAATAAGGATTAGGTATTTATAATACTTATTTATTATAACTAATTATTGTTTATTTTTGTTTGATATTCATATCTACATTTTTTAAAGTATCGACCACATTCGTATCGAAACGATTCAACCACTTTTTTTTCTAAAGGATGAAAAATGGAAATCAAAGGATTACATATTTTTCATAAAATTTCAACCAATGACTTGTAATTTCTATCATTACAGACAAATAGTGTAAATTGTGAGTGAATTAAAAATCTCGAGCCTAATATATCAAGTTTTATATTACGTAGAAGCGTTAGTCATACCATACTAGTCATAGTATTGTAACAGGCTATATCTTTTCACCTTTTATAGTTCCCTGTGATTATACGGTGACAATAGAATTCATAATTCAACAAGCGAACGAAATATAGTGATACAACATGGTTATGTCATTCTTTACTCCTGTAAATACAATAATCGTTTCCTTATTTTGTTTTCTGGAAACGAATAAAATGATTTTATTTTCTATACGGGGCTCTCATAATAAGGCATTGACCACCATACCATATAAGACGCCGTATCGCTGTTATAAATTAAAATAAAATAAAATAAAAATAGTTTTGACTGGGATTACGATTACGGAATTTATAAATTGGGATTGGAGCCTACTTTTAAGCAAGATATGCCTGTGTTAGGAGACTCCGCTCTTTCACAACAAGACGTACATAACAAACGTTATTACGATGGTAGGTATTAGGTAGTAAATGGATAATACATAATTAAGAACTTGATGTATTAATTATTTTTCGGTAGTTCGATATACGTATAGTAAAATTGTCATACTCAGCTTAGTTCTTTGAACTGATAATCTTGTACTTAACTCTAAATAGATACATTTTAAGAATATCACAATAAACAATGACCTGTAGTACTTACTACTGAAATGTCGCTATATTTCACTATTATATCGTATGTGTCTAATAAGAACATATTATTATAATTGAATGACTTATTATTTCAATAACAGAAGTACTAGCTGTATCGTTTTGTGAATGTTCTAAAAAGGTTTAAAAGTAAAATCCTATTTACAAATTCATAAGCCGACTTTCTTATACATTTTTAACGCAATGTACTATCCGGGTAATATGCTAGACTTTCATATTAATTATATACTTATGACGTATCTATTATACATATATCACAGTGATTAAGAGATTAGGAGATTGAGATTGAGATTAAGCTCCCAGGTTACAAACGTTTATAGTGCACATACTCATTATTTGTCTCTTTGATTTACTTTAAATTTTAGTTGGCGGTTTAACTTATTATGTACCTACACACTTATTTACCTACAAATAGAAACTAAACGATTTAAACATTCTTGTGATAATAAACAAATAAGTATCAGATTTTGTCCAAATCAACAATATTAAAAAATATCTAGGAACTTTCAAAACAACTTTCGGTAACAAAAGCTTGTTTTGTTTATAGCTTAATAAGACTGGAATTAATGGTTCTTAACATAATAGAAACTGCAAATGCCACTGATTTCATAACCTCCCAAGGGATCCATCGCCTTTTCGCCCCAAAAATTTTCAAGCGCGAGTGCTACGCCGATTTAGACTCTACCACGTCGCAATAAAAAGGAAAATATAGTTTGTATTGTTCCCTGTTTGCGACGTTGTTTTAATAGACCTAGATGAGGTGTATACATAGAATTCAATTTTCTGGGCGTGGCGAATCAAGCACCGTGACAGAATGTATTCAAAACGCCAATATTTGGTTGGCGAAACTGCAGTATAAAATGAGAGACCTTTCCTATCCATCGTCATTGTTATTCGTACAAGGGTAGCGATCACCTCTGATCAGAGTTCGAATACACAGCCGGAGTAGGTAGATATCGATTAGTTTGTACCGAGTGATTGTGGTGAAGGAAGAATCAAAGTATGTTCGCCGAGGGTAAATATAAATGATGCATGGCTCGCATAGCGTGATAGTTCAAAGGATGGTGCCGTCAATATCATGTCTACCGGCTCCCCGACGCATTCACAATCGGCCGTTCGTCTTGGTTGACCGTTTCCCGTTGAAGTAACGGTTCATTATCAGTTTTGCGGATTTATATTTAGTAAAATATAAAATTATCGACACACTCATACTGAAGTGAAAATGTCTGATTGTTGCAGGGCCGAGCGCCATAGAGTCGCGCTCGCCAAGCGCCTTCACACCCAACTCCTCCAGCATGCTACTGCTGCAGACACACGTAAGTTTTTCACGTGTTACTCAATAACGTAAATTAATTATTATTCTTCCGCTTACAATATATTTGAACCGATAGAATCCTTCAAATAAAAATATGTACATTATTGATTAGAACACCTGCATCGATTGTTGTACAGGCGGTTACACAAAGCCCCTACAGACATAAGTAGACAATAGTTAGAGCACGCCATTGGTTAGTCACGGCCGCCCCTGACGGCCATCCGCCGCCTACCACTTCTGTGACGCCTCCTTTATTGATTGTCATTTCTATTTCAGAGCAACTACGGTTCGTCCTTCACTGATCTATTATCACCGCAATATCAAGAAGATTCGACTGAAATCTTAGAAGAAAACCTAGATCCATTCCCGGACGTAGAATTTCACGCTCCGGTCCCGCCTGAAGTAAAATCTCATCGCACTACGCCGATTAGTGAGGCTTCGTCGCCAACCTTAGGCCCTGCGTTGCCTAGTTTTGAAGAAACTTACTCAGTTCGTTATCCCAAACAAGAAATGGCGGAATTCGGCATTAAAATGGACGAAGACTGCTACAACGTGAGCGCATATCAAGGACACACGTCCACCCAGCTACTTTATCAATATCATCAACCTTCCATTCCCTATGTACCGTCTACATACTACGCACCGGCGCAACCGTGCAGCCCCACATTCGATACAGGCGGAGTGACACCCAATCAAGACTCGTATTCTTTACCCCCTTTCCCAAGTTCGGTAGATTTACACATAGCTACGGATCAAAGCGCAAGGCAACGACGAGCATCATTACCGGTACAGCGGTCAGAATCTACAAGTTCTAACGACAGCCCTAAAGTACCTGGTGGCAGAATACACTGTATGCAAGCGTCTGCACCCAGCTCTGCATCCAGTTCGCCTGGCGTCGCGCCAGAGGGTACTGGTCCTAGAGTAGCGCCATCATCACCGAGTCAGTTATGCGCTGTATGTGGGGACACTGCAGCTTGCCAACACTATGGAGTCAGGACTTGTGAAGGGTGTAAGGGATTTTTCAAGAGAACCGTACAAAAGGGTTCGAAATACGTATGTTTAGCTGAGAAATCCTGCCCTGTAGACAAAAGAAGACGAAATAGATGTCAGTTTTGTCGATTCCAGAAATGTCTCAATGTTGGAATGGTCAAGGAAGTCGTAAGAACTGACTCTTTGAAAGGTAGACGTGGCAGATTGCCATCTAAACCGAAATGCCCGCAGGAATCACCGCCAAGCCCGCCCATATCACTTATCACAGCACTAGTGAGAGCTCATGTCGACACTTCTCCAGACTTTGCCAATCTTGATTACTCACAATATCGGGAACCAAACCCAATGGAGCCACCGATGTCAGACTTAGAAGTAATTCAACAGTTTTACACTCTATTGACAACTTCAATTGATATGATCAAAGTATTTGCGGACAAGGTACCCGGCTATGGTGATCTATGCCCTGAAGACCGCGAACAGCTGTTTGCGTCAGCTCGTCTCGAGCTATTTGTTCTGCGATTGGCATACCGCACACGTCCGGAAGACACCAAGTTGACATTCTGCAATGGCGTCGTACTGGATAAGCGACAATGCCAACGATCATTCGGAGACTGGCTGCATGCCGTTCTGGACTTCAGCAACACGCTACATTCGATGGACATCGACATATCTACATTTGCGTGTCTTTGCGCATTAACTTTGATAACAGGTGTGTAAATTAAATAATTTAATTTTAATTGAAATTCATGTATTGAGAATAATAGTAAATTATTTAAAAAAAACATTGAGAAGATTATTAAATTTACTAATAATATTAATCATTTTATTTGCAGATCGACATGGTCTTAAGGAGCCTCACCGTGTGGAGCAGTTACAAATGAAGATAATAGGGTGTCTCCGCGCCCACATGCCGGGCGGCGGAGGTGCAGCCGGTGGTGGCGCTCCACACTTCAGCCGCGTGCTGGGCGCTCTGCCCGAGCTGCGCTCGCTGTCTGTGCAGGGCCTGCAGCGCATCTTCTACCTGAAGCTGGAGGACCTCGTGCCGGCGCCGCCGCTCATCGAAAACATGTTTCGCTCCAGCCTGCCATTCTGAATACCCCGCGCCCCACCCGTGAGGACCACTCCCGCCTTCGAAACTTGTTCTCCTTCTGTTCTAGAGCCGAATCCGTTATTTTTTTAAGTGTTTAGATGATAAAATATTTTTCTAGAGATTAGATAAACGTTAGTTAGGACGCGATCTCCAACGGAATCGGTTCGTGCTACTCGTATGAATTTAATATTAAGTATTTACTTAATGGAGACAATCTTACCGTGTAAGTTCTAAGTTAAGGTTAATTTATTGAAAAAGTTTAGGAATTTGTCTTTTGGTGTGATTTCGTTTTATCTTACAATGTTGTGTATTTAGTAGTCTGCATTTGAGTTACCGCTCGTGATCGATGGCATCTTGTCGTACAAATATTCCTATGTTATTTACTTACGTATTACTTAGATAGGAAAAATCTAGTCACAAGACTTAGAAATGTTATAAAAATTTGCTCGTCAATATCGGGCTTTTTATTATAATTAATATAAGTAAAAATTACTTTAAGAAAGATAAGGCATTTAATGTCCTTTTTGTAAGAATGTGAGACGGGCGAGTCGACCCCCGCAGGACGCGCCCGCCCTGAATGACGGTGTACCGAAGTCGATGAGCGTCACAACGACATGATTGTTGGAAGTTACCTTTTAGTTTTAAATTATTTTTTAATATTTTAGACGCTAGGACACTAATGTAATGTGTTAAAATAATTATACCTAAGGCCTGAGAAAAAGTTCAGCATATATTTGACGTCCCCAATGTACTTAAATCCTTAAAATACAACGTGTCTTAAAGAGTACCTTTATAGGTAGATAGCGTAGAATTTTCTTATGTGAACCTTTTATATGCTTACTACAAATACATATTATATATGTATTTAGTAAATATTTAAACATATCACGATATTATTTTTTTAAAATTGTGATTGCACTTGTATTACCTGATTGGAATCCTTTGCATCTCATTTAAGCTAGGCCATTATAGTCAAATGTACAACATTAAAATAAATTGCTAAAATTAAAATCACTGTGTATTTTTGCTCGTAAGTGTAAAGCTATTGGGAATACTCCTGATATGATCAGGCTAGATGTGTGTATTTTTGTCTACTGCATTTGAATGGACTGTGTAATTTTTCACTGGACCAAATAGGATAACTAAAGTCCTGGTGCAGTGTATCTGAAAGAAGCTGTGCTAAGAACCTTTAAATCATAATCACTGGTGGGTACTCTTTTTATGTATCTGCCGGCGTGGAAACAATAACAGTGTAACTAAGAGTTGCCTTGTATCTCCTAAAAGACTAGATACCTGCAGCAGCACTGTAGGTATAACATTTTTACGGAAAGTATGCACGTACCTATTGTACCACTAGGTGCTCTGTCCAACCTTTAAACTATGTTTAACTTAAGTAGGTACATAGATAGGTAAAGGAATTTAAGATTCATATCTGAATTAAGTATTGAGTAGGTGGGGAGTAAATGTTCCTTAGGTAAGTCACATTTATTCCTTGTATAATACGAGAGTGACTGTTGTTATTGATGTTGGTGTCCTTTTGAATGGAATTAGTGATATACGTTGTCTATTACTTATGTAGAGTTAATGAAACCCAAGACACATTGAAATTAATAATTTTATACAAAATTGATAATAACCTTAATTAATATTTATTAATGCTGGACTTTTTACTCGAACGCCAGAACTCCCTTCTAATATTATTAATTTTATAGATTTATAATTGTAGTCAAGGAAATTATTTGTCGTTAATTTTTAAATTTTGACGAATTTCTGAATGATTGAACCTACATATTGTACCTATTTAATACTTCGGTTGTGCTTGAACTATTGTTACCCTTATCCAAGCCGAAATAATTTATGTTTAACGGAACAACAAAACTGTTAACAACATTCCTACATTACAAACCTACCACGCCAACATTTTGTGTGACGAAATGTAAGAATTCACACGACACTGTGGAAAAGCTGTAGCCAGTGAGCTTCGAAACCATATACCTACCTAAATGCACCTATAAATAAAAATAAATAATCCCTGATTAGTAAAAGCTAGCCAACCCATTTAATATTAAATATGTATGCCTCGTGCAAGCGTTCTGGCTGCTACAGGTTATTTTCTATAATCATATCAATGTTTCCAAGTTACTAACCGTAACGACTCTTATTTCCTCGCACACATACGACAACAAACACTTTGAGTTATATTCAATGAAAATGCACTCAATTCATTTATTTTAAGTGGTGAAAATCACATAAACTATCGATTAGAGACCTACTAGAGCTTTGAATCTTCCTGCCCATATCTCCCTCCACTTGGGAACTTGAACCGACGCTGCCCAATTGTTTAAATAAATTGATAAAATGCGGGTAGGAATCCTACGAAATATCATATTACCCTCCATAGGTGTGTACCTGTAACTTATACCTGTTAAGTAATTACCTAATATACTTTCTTCTATAAGGTTTGTAATGAACTGCATTTCTTAAATCTCAACATAGATACATAAATGTGCTTTTGTTATGATATGTTATACATTTTCTTTGTAAATATTTCGTCAAAATAATATGGATGCGAATGCGTCAATGGAAATATGTCTCTTTTATTTACTTTCTGTTTTGAAACCCTTATACCTATACACGTCTTATACACCATATTACGCTTTAACCTTCAAACAGGCAAGCTGAAGGTGTTCTCACTTCTACCTACTACCAATCTTAATTTTACTAACAATACATACTAACGAATAGGTACTGTTTATTACTTCATTCCATTGAAAGTTACACAGAAGGGACCCTATTTCCTAATTATATTAATATTTTATGGACAAGAACCTACCTACAATAAAATCTGGTACTGACTATCAATGCTGGATTCGATTTCCAGGACAATCAAAATATTTTATTTTCTAAACGTGGGTAGGTCAAGGTACTTAGGTGCCTAAGTATTATACCCACTTAGTAATTTTCTGTACCCAGTGTAAGCGGGAAATACACACTATATTTACCAACAAATAAAAATAAGCTGTGGAAAACTTTTTAAATCAGCTGCTCATTTTTTGTACTAGCAACAAGTTTCACGGCTCGCCTAATGATAAGTACTTAAATAGTCACCTTAACGAAGTAGGTACTCTTGCAACAACAAAGATTACGCATCATTGTAGCCTGTGTGCTAATTAGGAACATCTCCCAGTCTTCCCCAAAAATAATAACAATAATGGCTAGGTATCTGGAATTCTCACCAACCAGACGTAAAACAAAACATACTTTACGCTGGTATTCTGTAAAATTAAAGGACACTCTTAAATTCCCCAGTCGAGCCGACCCAGATTATTTTTTAATATCTGACCAATTTATTAGCAGATTTTAGTAGAATTATATGTCAATTACTTGGTCACACCTACAATCTGTGCCGTCATTCCGTAGATGACGGACGTATGTCATTCTGTCATTATGTGTTATTCTTCTGTCAATGTCAAAACTCTGAACAAATTGTGAATATTGTGATAAATTAGATTACAAATTTACAACAGGAAAAATATTGTATCCTTGCAGTAAACACAATTCCTTCTTTATCTTTAATCAACCATTGAAGTGCAGTTATATATAAAATGGAAATATAAAGTGATATCGAACGAAATCTAAATATATTGTTGATTCTAGTTTATTGCTACATGTTCATTAATATTGGTGGTCTTGTTTATTATATTACAACATGTCAGAATCTACGGATATTAAGGACGGACTGGATAAAAACCTGGAAGACTTTGAAATACAAGAAGTGCTTCGAAACGGCACAGACTTACGAGAGTATGCCTTGCAACTGGACAAAGGTATAAAGGATGCCGAAAAGACGTCTGTGGCAGATTACTTGAAAGAAAGTGAAAATATTGCCTCTTTACACAACCAGATTGAAGATTGTGATGGAATCCTTGCTAAAATGGAAAGTATGCTGATGGTTTTCCAAGTAAGTATCAATATAAACTGCACCTTACACAATGTCCATATGTATGTTAACAGTTGTTTAGATCGATTGTTTGCTGCTTTCAGAATGACCTGGGCAGTATCAGCAATGAAATAATAAGTTTACAGAAGCGTTCAGTAAGCATGTCAGTGCAACTCTCTAATCGGCAGGTCTTGAAGGGGCCTCTATCTACTTTTATTGAAGACATGGCAGTTTCTGAAACACTTATATTGTAAGTAATTTTATTTTCTTAATAATAAATATATGTTTATTCATTTTTTTACATTTGAAAAAAATTAAATCTTGTTTGTTTCAGTGGTATCAACAATGTTCCTGTGACAGATAAAGAGTTTATGGTACAGTTAGCAATATTGAACCAAAAACTCAATTTTGTAAAGGAACAAGACTTCAAAGAAACTAAAGCATGCCATGATGTTAAAGATGTCGTGGAAAAATTGAAGATAAAAGCTGTATCGAAAATAAGAGCTTATATTTTGGAGAATATTTATAAATTCCGCAAACCAATGGCTAACTATCAGATACCTCAGAATGCCATGCTTAAGTACAAGTTTTTCTTTGAGTTTATATTAGCCAATGAGAGAAATGTTGCCCAAGAGATTTGCAATGAATATATTGATACTCTGAGCAAAGTATACTACTCTTATTTCAAGTCATATGCCTCAAGATTAGACAAGTTAAAGTATGAGGAAGCTCCCAGCAAAGATGATCTAATGGGGATTGAGGATGGATCTAAAGGAGGCTTCTTTCAAAAATCTAACTTGAAGAATAAAAGCACAATATTCACAATTGGCAACAGAGGTGATGTATTAGCTCAGCAACTGGAAGCCCCCATTATTGTACCCCATGTGCAACAAAAAACGAAGGTAAACTAATTATATAGGTAAATTAATAAGACTGCACGGTTGGTACGGTTCCTGGGCAACCGGCTGCCGTGCAACGTGTCGCGGGTTCGATTCCCGCGCGGAACGACACTTGATCCACAAATTGTTGTTCCGGGTCTGGATGTCATGTGTATATGAACTTG